TTTCGTCTTTGGATGATTGGGTCGGCCCTCTGTGGAAGTGGTTGGTGGTCTTGGCCAACCTTGGGGGTGCCCCCCACAGTGCGGAATCTTATCAATCAGTGAGTGATGCTCCCCAACCTCATTCCGAGCGAGGGCCGAACAGCGGAACTTTCGTGTACATGACCCGATCTGGAGATCACCACCGCCAGTTAGTCACAGAGCTGTCTGTGACGTGCGTATGCAGAGACTGATGGTGGAAAAAGTGGAATGCATGGAAAGAAGTCGCCGCCATTGGACACTTGCTTCCCTAGCGTTTAGAGTCCCATTTTCAGCGATCCGAAAATTCGATCCACTATTCTCGGTTATGTCTTTTCAGTGCGATTATGATGAAACGAATGGTATAAATTGACTTGATGACGGTACACATCAAGGACCCCCAATTCTCTCTTGATCTGCTTGGATGAATTGCAATATAGAATCCGAAATATGAGCTGAGTGGATTCCAGCTAAGGCCGATCAATACAAAGCCGTCAATCTGTGAGGGACATGAACTCTACAGTATGTCCCAGGGGTAATTCCAAATAGTCATTCTCTTCAAAAGGTTGCAACATGCAACATTGCCTCACAGCTCCGTTAATCGAGGAGCTCCATCTGATGGAGGAGCAGAATGCTTAGTCTGTACGAAGACCTTCTGCATGCCCATCTCTCTCTTATTGAAAATCGCATACAATTCCTCCATGTCTTCCAAGCGGACCCGGTGGGTCACCATATCCAGCGGATTAATATCGTTCGTCTGAATGAGGTCCATAAGGTGCTTCCAATACTTGTGAACAGGAGCCTGCCCATTACCCATAAGGTGAACGCCTGTCTGCATCAGAGCCCCAATGTTAAAGTGGTTGGTCTGGGAATCATTGTTAGATACTTCGCTCGTCCGAATATCGGTGAACTCACAAAACCGGCATAGACACCCGTCACCCCAACATGGCCGAACGGGCGGACGGCAGTAATCATCTCATTCAACAACTCCGAAGTATCCGTCTCCATCCCAAGCATCTGCTCAAAGTAATGCGCCCATCCTTTAGCGTATTCACCCGCTGCACACTCCAAAGCAACGTCGGGTCCGCCCTCGACCATCTTTTGCAGCTGTGATGTCACTGACTCCCCTTTTGGCAGATCAGTGAAGTTGATCGTCTCAACCTTTGGCGCTTTAGTCTTCACAAACTCCAATCGCCATGCCCCATCACCTCCGTCGATGAGGATGACTCGACTAGCTCCATGGTAGAAGCTGAACTTTGCACACATCTGCCCGATCGGTCCGGCTCCCCAGATCGCAACAACATCTCCCTCCTTTACACCGGTATCGACCACGCAGTGCCATGAGGTGGCTATAACATCCGAGACATACAGTGCCTTCTCATCTGGTACTTCGACTGGAATGGAAAGCAGATTGACGTCGCCGTATGGAACTCGAATATACTCGGCCTGGCCACCTGCAAACCCACCAGTGAAATGGGAATATCCAAATATGCCTGTTTCCCATTTAGTATGCATTTGTAGACCTCCGAGGCCAGATCAAGTGCATATCAACTACTCCTTTCAACTTACCTGCAGTTCGTTTTCCATATAGAGCATTGGCCAGAGTATTCTCGTTGGTCTTGTCGCATTGAGAATAGTATTCTCTACGACAATTCCTGCAATCTCCACAAGCGATCGGAAAAGAAACGACAACTCGTTCTCCGACTTTGACCTTCTTAGCCTCGGGCCCTATACTGTCCACAACTCCACAGCACTCATGGCCGAGCACGTCGCCCTTCTCCAGCTGAGGAATGACGCCTTTACTCGGCGCAAGTGGGTCAGTCTATTTGCTCGCTTGGATGGTCGTAGAAATGTCTTCATACCGTGATACAGGTGAAGATCGCTACCGCAAATCGTGCTTCCTGTCACCCTGACAATCACGTCTCCAGGGTCGATCACCCGTGGTTTCGGCATTTGCACTAATCGCAGTGGTCGGCAAGGTACAAAAGGCTTAAGCTGGCAATTCCCTCTCTCACTTACCAACTTTGATTTGGTTCTTCCCTTGCCAGGTAGTAGCCTGGATCATCTCTCCACTCTCCATTCCATATTCATTGGCATAGTTAGACACGTCAGTGGTGATTGTCGCATTATCACCATGGCCGAGAATCTTCTCTACCAGGTTAGCTGTCTGGGTCATTGCCATTTTTAATATGTTCGAGGATATGTGTAGTTGAGAAGTAGCAAATTTAGTGCATGTACTATGTCCATGAGAGAGATAATAAAGACTTCCAGGGCATTCAGTCTTTACTATCAACTGACATCACCATGATGTCGGATGTACGTCAAGAGCTATCCTATCCCCAGGATTATAGAACTTGAAAGGGGAGTTTGTATGAAAACGAAGGCGTTCTAGTCAATTATTTGTTAAATTACATTAGTCCATGAAAGTTGATGAGGCGTAATAATCGTAGGATATATATCGGGATCTAGTTGGAGAGAAATGGCATATTTATGAGTGTTCCAAGATTACTTGACCTTTACATAGCTCCAGTACAGATCTCAAGGTATTCATATCCCTATCCCTGCTGGCATGTTGCCTTTGTAGTGGCAGAGTTAGTAGAATCAATCTGGTAGCAAATAGCGTCATAGGATTCAATTTGATGTAGTGATATTTATAAGTCCGAATGAAGCATTTACCAAGCCAAATATATTGTAATAATCTCAATAGCATCATCCTACTCCATACAGGTTACCTACATTCAGGTACTATTTGACCTAGAAGAAAAGAAACACGTAGTTGTCACACGTGAGTCAATACACAGCTGAATCCGCTATCACCGGACTCGGCGATAAGCAAGGGGGCACATCCCACGGATCAGGTACCAGCCCCCCCCGTCGGGACTCCGCCTTTTCCCCTCACGAGTCATTCTCTCCAACTCTTTCTCTTCCTTACACTCATACAATCCAACCCTCTATTTACAATATGACTAGAAAATACAATACCACCCAAGGCCTAGATATGCCGTGGGCCTCACAAATGTCCGCCCAGCTGCCCAGCGCCTTCATGCCTGTACCTGCAGCACAGCCAGTCCGAGCTCAGGCACCGATCGCCAATGAAGCTATCCGACCCGAGGATTACTCTAAACCATACTGCGAGTTCATGACATCCAATCCCACAATTTTCCACGCCGTCAAATCCTTCTCCAAGCAGCTCGAAGAGCATGGTTACAAGCAACTCTCCGAACGAGCGGTGTGGACATCGGAGCTGAAACGAGGCGGCAAGTTCTACATTACCCGCAACGACAGCTCGTTGATCGCTTTCAACATTGGCTCCAAATACGAGAGCGGCAATGGCATGGCTATCGTTGCTGGTCACGTCGATGCCTTGACTGCCAAGCTGAAGCCCGTGTCTAAGCTACCGAACAAAGCAGGCTTCCAGCAACTCGGCGTTGCCCCATACGCCGGTGGTCTCGGCACCACTTGGTGGGATCGTGATCTTGGTATTGGTGGTCGCGTGCTCGTCCGCGACCCGGAAACTGGCAAGGTGGAGACTAAGCTGGTCAAACTCGACTGGCCTATTGCTCGTATCCCTACCCTCGCTCCCCATTTCGGTACCCCTGCAAATGGCCCATTCAACGAGGAAACCCAGATGGTGCCTGTCGTCGGAGTTGATAACTCTGATTTGTTTGGAAACGCCAAGACCGAGTCCAGCGACATCAAGTTTGGCACATTTACCTCGACCCAGCCTGAGAAGCTTGTGAAGATTATTTCCAAGGAGATTGGCGTTACAGATTACAGCACTATTGTCAACTGGGAATTGGAACTCTTCGATACTCAATCAGCTCAACTAGGAGGTCTGGAGAAGGACATGATCTTCGCCGGTCGCATTGACGATAAGCTCTGCTGCTATGCTGCACAGGAAGCGCTCATTGCTTCCTCGGATAGCACATCGCCCGGGACCGTGAAGATGGTCGGTATGTTCGATGATGAAGAGATTGGCAGTTTGCTCCGACAAGGTGCTCGGTCGAACTTTATGAGCAGTGTCATGGAGCGGATTGCCGAGGCCTTTGCGAAGGACAACTACGGGCCCAATCTCCTTTCCCAGACAGTAGCCAACAGCTTCTTGGTATCATCAGATGTCATCCACGCAGTGAACCCGAACTTCCTTAATGTTTACCTGGAGAACCACGCGCCCCGCCTCAACGTTGGTGTGGCAGTGTCTACCGACTCAAACGGACACATGACTACCGATAGCGTCAGCGAGGGTGTCCTTAGGCGGGTTGCAGAGCGCTGTGGGTCAACCCTGCAGGTCTTCCAGATTCGCAATGACTCTCGTAGCGGTGGCACTATTGGGCCCATGACCAGTGCCCAGATCGGCATGAGGGCCATTGACTGCGGTATCCCGCAGCTGAGCATGCACAGTATCCGGGCGACTACCGGAAGCTTGGACCCCGGTCTGGGTGTCAAGTTGTTCAAGGGTTTCTTCGATCACTACGAAGAAGTCGACAAGGAGTTCGCTGATTTTTAGATCGGTAAATTTGCTTCGCTTTAGACAATATAGACCTCTTTCTCCCTTTGTGCATGCCTGTTATAGGCGGGTTGTCTGTTTATTCTATTCTTGAGGCGTTTATTGGACTACAACGAAGTGGTTTCATTCTGTGACTATTGCTCTTCCAACTCTCAGCATTAAGTTATCTGTTTGATTCGATTGCTGTACCTTGACTAGCTAACTATATATCCAAGAATTTCCACACCTACATTCCACATTACTAAATCTTTAAAATGACCCAAGAAAAAAAGAGAGAGAGAGAGAGCGTGTACCCCACGGGGTAATCATAACCTGACAACCGCCAGGCCCAACGAGGGTGGTGCAACTCTGACAAGAAACAAAAGAAAAAAAAAAAAAAAGAAAGCTCCGACGGGTATATCACTTTATACTCCAAGCCACCAACATGACTGCATAAGCCATTCAAAAACCAAATGCGCATCTATACATCAACAGACTTTCAAAACGGCACTGCCAAATCCCCAGGTAAAGGACGAGGATGCGCCACCCTATTAGGACGAGGCCCAGGAACCGAAGTAATCTGTGACAATTTCTTCTCTTCCTCTCTTGTCCAGCGTTTAAGACTAGATCTGAAGCCGGTTCCAGGAGCAAGAGCGAGAACCCGCTCCGGGTCACCAGCGCCGTATTCGTGTTCTTCGCCGGGTGGGCCGAGGGTAGATGCATTATCATTCCAGTCGGAGTTGCGTTGCGTTGTGTCGCCGCGGGTGGGACGGCTGGCGTTGAAAGTTGATACCATGCCTGGGAAGATGCGGGCGACGAGGGGTTTTAGGGTTGGTAGACAGGCGCAGATAATGCCTGTGTTGCATTCAATAGCGGACCAGGAGGCGGCGGCGACGTTGTCATCTGGTTTTTGGTGGTGTTAGTTTGGTTTCTGGGATAAAATAGGCAGGGCTTAGATATGATACTTACAGGTGGGATCTGTTGAATCGGCGATTTGTTTTAGGCTGAGTAGACGGATGATACTAGTGATGCAGACACTGATGAGTGTTGAGTGTTAGTAGTTTTGGGACTGGTTGGTGTCTGAAACGGGATAACTCACAAGCCACCCAGAGCAAACATGATCATTAAAGCGAGCTTTTGTTTTCGGGGCAAGTCGATTGCAATCAAAGCTGGGATGGGGATGACCAGGATAGCAATATCTGTCGATATATGCATACTAGCATTGGAGAACCACAGCTTGGTCTTGTCCAGACAGTAGCCTTGGATTGAGTCGTCCCAGAATTTGGCGACGGGAATGCAATTGAGAAATGCACTGATCACGGCCCATGTGCCATAGATGGCGAGGATGGCGATCATGACCCAGCAAACGACACGCATGCGGTGTGTTGGGAAGACTCGAAAGTACTGCATCAGAATCGAGGCTTTGGCGCAGAGAACGGCGGCGTTATAGAAAGGAATCGTGAGCCAGAAAGCCTATTGGGATTGTTTTGTTAGATGTTGTTGATAGCCGAGGGGCCCGGCTTAGGGCAAGCTCACCTTCATCTGTCTCAGGAAGATGTTCGGTGGGATATCCTTGAAATGCACACCCATTCCACTGACAGCTTCGATAATGTCGAGGGCCATGAAGATATATGAATTGACCTATGCATATGTGTTAGTATACCACATTCTTCGATATCAACCACCTAGCTTACTAGTGCTATAATGACCATCCAGTCATTTGCTTCCACTCGTTTCATAAGTCCCATACGAGTATACATCCTCATCGCCACGAAGCAGGTTGCCAAGGCCGTGAACACAACGCTTACAACCAAGCCCTGTGCGCCACGGGCAGACATAAAGATACCATCATTATCTCGCCTGAAGATCGCATCTCGAATGTACAATAGATCCATCGTCATACGATCTTGTGGCTTTGGGAAAAACGAAGGGATGGCTACTCCTCAAAGAGAAGATTGCCCGGGGGGAACAGTCTAACGATCCGATCAGATAGACGATCTTGATCTAATTAACGACTGGTATAGGGCACAAAGGAGTGATAAGAGAACAACCTCTCCATTAAGAAATAGAAAATTCAAGAGGATATCACGGTATTATAATCCTAAGCACATAAAAATTATGCGTAGCGTTGCCATAAACAATCCATGCAGCCCCAGAAACCAAACGGGCGAGGAACGAATCCACTATCCCTTTTTGAGAGAGAGGCAATACCGAGTTCATAAAAGGTCAGGCATTTTCTCTCTCCTCACTCCTCGGATGGGCGGGTTAATGCTTTTGACGTGAGACAGGATCCCCGTCTAAAAAGCGTGTTTGCAGCAGCGTGCAGCGCAAGGGGTCCCATACAACGAATCGGGTACTGAGTTGGCCCCCAATGGACTCGATATGTACCTATGTAGTCCGTACTAACTACACCTCTATATGATAATTCTTTGTTATTTTTTTGGTTTTGCTATCTTTTCTTTTTCTTTACTCTTTGAACTTGGTGGTTGTGGCTGCAATTTACATGGGGGTAGATTATAGTTTACAGGGTGTTTTTGATATATTAATTTCCCACACCTTATTTTGAGACTCCAGAAACATTTACCCCTTCCGTCTCACTACCATTAATAGTTCAATAATTTTAAGCTATTCCTGTCGATCGCATATGGGACGGTCGACTCGACTTACCGTTCAGTACTTAGTTATAGGCTATTCTTTCTTTTTTTTCGTTGATTGACGCACGCGAAACTATACTTCCACGGACTTATCACTCCGTTCTAAGTTACTGGGATGCCATATAGAATAGTTGAAGCAATTCCAAATCACTTCGAATATGACATTATGCAGGACTTGCATACAAGTATTAACTTGCAGACAGCTCGGAGGTCATTTCATTTGATATCCGATCATCTCCGACGGTGACACTGAAGAGGCATATATAACTAGCAGCTAATGATGACGAGTGGGGCCTAAGACTATATTATCCTGGAGTGAGCCAACCCTATGTATCAGTCTGCCTGCCTATGGGATGTAGTCAGTCCACGTGTGGAAAGTTGTCCGGCTGTAGGGGCTAATGTGAGCTTGGAAGTGTCAAACCTGTTGATTACTAGCTTCTAAACCGCGGGTATGCTCATCACTAAGGGTTAGAAGCCAACTCTCATATTTATTTCCATGACATAATCCAGTGCGGCGATGACTTCCAGGTAACGACGGAGATGGTCGGTAAAAGCTTCCAACTCAAGATGTCGCGACACTCTGACCTATGTCGATACATGCCCCTCTCGTTCTGCCCCTCATTTTGTTACCTTGGAGATTTAAAAAATGGTTAGAACAAGGTCTGGTCTGTCTTATTAGTTGACCGAGGAACGAACACCCTATTGTAGACACTGTCTCATTTTGGATGTTAGGGCTATATTAAGCTCATCTGCTTCATGTGTAAGGGGCGCTCTATTTATTGCCACTGAACTACCCCGTATGCGACAGAAATACCCACAGCTAAAAGAACAGAGTGTCCAACTAAACTTCAAATAGTTAGAGAGGATAAAATCTCCTATTTGTTGGAACATCTAGCCACTTCATTCGATAATGGCACAGACCTTGTAAGGGATGACCATGCCCCGGATATCCGCTCCCGAAAAGCTTCGTTTGTCACAAATATGGGGATGTGCTCGATTGTTCAACCTGCTAATTGTACTTTGCAAATGTTTCTCATACAAAGCACATTGGTCTCAGCATGATTGTGTGACTTCGATTAGTGAGTCTCACAACATCCAAAACTGATACCCACGCAATTCGGCTCGTGGCAATGCATCGAATTTTTGGAACAATTCAAGAAAAAGCAATTAATAAGTCACATTATTTGGGCTTTTCGCCAACGGCGTGTGGCCAAAAAAAGACCCTTGCCAAGGTGGCGTTGGCGAGTTGACATGTCACATACAACCATTAGGGCTATTCGTTTGGAGACACGAATATCGATGGTTGATCATCTGTCGCAGGATCAAAGAAACATGGCTTCGCATTTCTAGCTGCCACATTTTGAATCCTGTAGTGGAACTCCCATATACGCAATACCTCTTGTCAATATGCAGGGCGCTAGGCTCTACTCCGTACACTTGCGTTGTATGCAAGTTGCCTTGCTTGCCGAGTTGTCATGGCAGCTTGGGACATCTTGCATTAATCTAAAATGTGCAATCTAGTTTCTGTTAAAATTGGAGTACCACCCCATTACTTAGGTACTCAACTTAACCAAGTCTGATTTAGAGATTGAAAACTTTATCGCTTTAATAGGTAGGAGCTAATGGGAGCTAAAAAAAACCGTTATTTTGTCGCAATTTTGGGCATTTTTGATACGTCAAGACGACTCTATAACTTCTTCAGTCAACCATCTCATGGGGTAGGGTGCATCTAATTATGTTGTACCACCCCTATATATTTAGGCACCCACCTGACTGCAGCTAGCCATATTCAAATTAGGATAGGGACAGCTCGATTGGACTGGATTCCACGTGTCTTGACCTCTCTCTCTCTCTCTCTCTCTCTCTCTCTCTCTCTCTTTCTCTCGTGGCTTTGTCGATGGTTTCGAATCTACAAACGCCTAATGTGAGATGTCGAATATCAGAGCATTCTGGTTATAGCGGCTTGATATTTAGCTAACAAAGCTACATTCACACAACTTCTTCCATGCCATCAGCCGAAAATCCTCTGAGATTAGTGGGCTGTGGACCAAGATGTCAGCTCAGTGTTCTAAACCAAGCCACTGCTGGTTAGAACGTGAGAACTCATCATGGTTCCTTACAGCCTGCAGCAACTCTCTTTGCCATTGTCTTTTTTTTTTCGAATTTCCTTTCTTCGCAAGGACCTCTGGGATTTTAGCTGAGACTGCAGGTTGAAACATGCAATGGCCCTATTTTATGTAGGGAAGATCACATATCCACTGAGAGGCAGATACGATACGCGAGTTCTAGGGTAATACTCTTGGAACTCACATTGGTTGGAAGCTGTTTGTGCAGAACCATCGAAGGTAGGTTCTCTGTTGCGGATATAGCTCTTATGAACCTAATCCTGCTTCGAGAGACGAACGAATTCGTTTGGCCTTCAAAAGTCATTTTGGTGCCTACTATTTGAAGAACCTCTTTACTCAGCCCGGGGAGGCATCCGTAACCTATTGGCCTGGTTTCCAACGTGTGCTGCTCTCAACATGGCGGTAACTGGGTGTTATGTCCTCTTCGAAGAAGAAAGGAGTCTTGCCTGTTAAGGCCTAGGGTATTTTGCCACTAGAGATTGACCTCCGCTATAATCAAAGAATCCTCATCCGATCAAAATTGTTCAAGGGCATTTGAATGTTGAAGATATACTCCCAATATCGGCGTTCTGGTCTCTATTTTGACCAACCCGTCTTCATTTCAGCATACAGCATTCAAAATAGTGACCTGAATATCAAGCAACAAGAGAATGAACGTACAATCAAAGCCTTTTAATGTCCAGTTAGTTATTCATGGATACATTCAAAGATGACTGTGTAAAAATGCAGGACCTTGGTAGATTTGGATAGGCGATAAGATAGACCGATAAGGACGCACAGGCCACTGTTCACAGAGAAATTTCATTTCCACAACTCGGCCAATTCTATCAAGTCGACAACGATCTCGTCTTTTCTCATTGTCGATCAGTGGGAATAGTCCTAATATACAGGACAGGACAAAATGGCAGGCACTACTGCCGAATCCACCAAGCCCGTCCACACAATCGTGCTGGACGCTGGACCGATTCTCAAGAATACCCCGCCGCTTTCAACCCTCCTTGCCCAGTGCGACGAAATTATCACCACCCCCTCCGTGGTGGGCGAGATTCGCGATCCCGATGCCCGCGCACGTGTCGAGACCCTCTACCTGCCTTTCTTGAAGCAGCGATCTCCCACACCTAAGAGCTTCAATATTATCAGCGAATTCGCTCGCAAGACTGGTGACCGTTCTGTCCTGAGTAGAACCGATATTGAGGTCCTTGCGCTTGCCTACGAAATTGAGTGCGAAAAGAACGAAGGAGATTGGCGGTTAAGAAGCGTTCCTGGACAGAAGAGAATCAATGGAAAGCCGCCTGTGAAGGAGGAATCCGAGGAGGCTAAGCCCGAGGAGACCAAGCCTGCGGATGCCGAGGTGGAAGCCATTACAGAGGGAGTGAAGGAGACCACAGTCGCAGACGCCCAGGAGGAGTCTCCAAAGGAGAAGGAAACTGCTTCAGCTAATGAGGCCGACGAAGTCGCCGAGGTTGCGGTTGCGGTTGCCGATGAAGAAGAGAAGGACGAAGATCAGAATGCGGATGATGCTGCTGATTCCGACGACGGAGAATGGATCACACCCTCCAACTATAAAAAGCGTCTTGCCGAGGACGATTCCGGGACGGCAACTCTTACTGCCGCGCCCAAGACAATGCAGGTTGCGGCTATGACCACTGATTTCGCGGTAAGTACACCCCAGACAACATCTGTCTCTCACCCAATTACTTATTTTGTATAGTGTCAAAACGTTCTCCTTCAAATGAACCTCAACCTTTTGTCTACCACCACCCTCCAGAAGATCCAGCATCTTAGAACCTTCATCAAGCGCTGCCACGCTTGCTTCTTGACCACAAAGGAGATGAACAAGCAGTTCTGTCCTCGCTGTGGCAAGGATACTCTCACTCGTGTCTCATGCACAACCACTGCCAATGGCGCATTCACAATGCACTTGAAGAAGAACATGCAGTGGAACAAGCGCGGCAATGTATACAGTGTTCCTAAGCCGATTGCAGGCAGCGCGAACGGCAAGTGGAAGGGCGGCGGTGGCCAGCGAGGATGGGGTGCCGAGCTCGTTCTTGCCGAAGATCAGAAGGAGTATGTCCGCGCCAATGAGGAAGAAGAGCGGAGGCAGCGTCGCGAGCGTGATCTCATGGACGAAGACTACCTGCCTGGTATCTTGACCGGTGAACGCAACAGGGCTGGCGGTCGTACTAAGGTCGGTGCTGGCCGCAATGTCAACTCGAAGAAGCGCTAAATGTGCCGCGTGGATGACTTTGCATCTTGATTACATGGGTTGGAGTTTTGGGGCATGGAAAGAAAAAAGTTCATTTGGTCAACGCCGCTGTCATGGTGGTTGTCGGCCTTTTTTATGAGGAATGACCATGTCTTGTCTTGGTGATTTACGTTTGAACATAGAATATAGCCAATCGATAGGGCTCTTTATGAATATTTTAACAAGATCCTTGTTGATTTCCTAGATCAGGTATCGTATTCTCTAGAATGTCTAGGTGAAACCCGAATAGATTATCCGAAGACAGCAAAACAAGTATGGACATCTCAGCCATCCGTTGACCGCAAGAAAAACACCATTCGCCAAAACATGGGCTATGCCACCCGGTAATTCATTTTTCCCAGTGTCGATCCATTTAAGCCTTAACGGGGGTCTCTGAACGATAAAATGTCAGTTTGCGGTACTCCTGAGGGAGCGGAGATCTGCAACGAGAGATGCGACGTACCGGCCTGCTGGGTGAGGAGAAGGTTGTAACGCTTCTTCAGGGTGACACGGTGACTGTGGAAGAGGTCAGTTTCCAATTCTTCCATTGTGCGCTTCGCAGAAGGATAAGCTACTTACCGAGAGTACTTGTCATCGGGAGAGAAGCGAGCGGGGTGGGCAGACTTGGTGACCTCGCCGTTCAGGACCTATAATTGCGAAAAAAATTAGCATCATTGGACAATGCTGAAACTGTGATCCGAGGAGCCACATGTTCGCTGAACAGCGGCAGTGACTCCAGCGCAAAGATTTCCATACCTTCTTCAAGGTGTAAACACGCTTGCCAGCGGTGTCGAGAGTGTACTGTTCGTCAAAAAATTAGTGACCGATCTCCGAGCGGAGCTGAAGATTCGCTCGTTTCGATGTCGCAATGAAACATACCATGAGATGCATTCTGGAGAGAGGAATATTAGCATACGAGCAACGAAGACCACGTAGAACATGAGTTAGAAACTTACTTGGCGGTATTGATGAATTGTCCTGTGTTAGTACTTGCGTCGGCGATAAAGTGGAGGAATTTTTTTTCTCGACGAGGGAGAGCTCGGACCAAGTTGCTTAGTCACACGGTGCTTTTTAAACGGAGCTTTCGACCGCAAAATTCTCTGTCCTTTTCTTTCGCATCTGAGCAAAGAATGAATCTCTTTTAAATGACCTTTGAGCTCTGTTAATGTGCAGAGCCATGGTGGATTTTTACTAATTGACACTTCATTCAGGTTTTTCATACATACAGAGACTTCTAGGTAAGATGCTCCTCAGCTCTTCTACTACACTCCCCTTCTGCCCACCCTTCACCTCTTCGGTGATGACACCATTTATTTAGCTCAGGCAGGCGACACTTTTGATTTCTAGTTGCCTGTCGATGATCCGCTGAATTGACTACAACGGTATCTGAGAAGATATTACTATCACAAATGATTCACTCGCATGTGTCAGCACAATTCGCTAACCTCGAATTTTGTGTTTAGGACTTTGAATATTTTCTTTATCCAGTAGCGGTTTCCAGGATGGCCACTCCAGTAACCAGCATGGACAAGCCTGTGGCTACCAAGTCAGGGCCTGCATCAAATGCACGTCCGCCTCGTGCTCCTCGACCTCCTAGGCCAAACTTCAGACAGATTCACCAGTTTCCTCTTCCGGTCAATGTACATCACGTTCCTCCTGTAATTCCTCATAACCCTCTTTCTCTTATAAGCGTTGCTCTCTCGTACCTCACATTCCTTATCTCCCCGCCCCGTCAAGAAGTCTACTCGGCCTACTTTGACAAAGCCACATCGTCGATCCATGTCACGGAAGAGAGATCAATTAATGCCTTATGGCAGATGGGATTCTTCGGCAAGGGTAGTCTTAGTCGAAGTGAACCTAGCTGGCTGGCGCGAGAGAAGAAAAGAAGAGGGTTACATAATGAGAAGACCAGCGAGGAGATTACAAGACTGCGACGGACTGAACGTCGTGAACTGAAGTTAGAGCGTGCCCGGATGGAAAAGCTGGCCATTGAGGAAAGACTCAAAGCCGAGGCGGCTGCTAGGGAATCTGTTGCTTCCGAGCCTCTTGACGAAGCTGCTCAATCAACACCTACAGACGATACGACTAATGTCACAGCGACTACAACGGAGAAGTTCTCCTTGAAGAAGGCAAAAGAGGCTCGGATGCTGGAGGCACGGCAGGCACGGGAACTGGCTGCCCAAAATGCGGCCCATGCGGAACAAAACCAACCCGAGACCCCGTCCAGCAGCAAATCTGTCCGATTCTCATCAGTCGTGCAGAAGAAAGAATTCCTACCCACCTCACCCTCATCACTCCAGGTGCCTGATTCCGTCGTCGACAGCCTTGATGTTGATGATTTCCCAAATGAGGAGCATCTTCAACTCTCCAACGAAGAGGCATTCTTCCTTGCCTACTCGCTTGGAGCATTGCAAATCTACGATTCACCCTTGAAATCCGGGGAAGACCAACCAATCTCGCCAATCACCACGTCTGCCCTCCTCCAAAAGTTCTGCCACCATTCCTTCCAGCCTGCCCGTGACGGCTCCGATTCACTCCAACCCGATGATCCCTTCATGACCTCCTACGCCGTCTATCACCACTTCCGATCCCTCGGGTGGGTTATCCGCTCCGGTGTCAAATTCGGAACTGATTACCTGCTCTACAACCGCGGACCGGTCTTCTCCCACGCCGAGTTCGCAGTCATCGTCGTTCCTTCCTACAGCCACCCTTACTGGTCCGAGACAGAAGAACGGAAGAACTACACAGCAGAGAAGCAGGCAAGGAGTTGGTGGTGGATGCACTGCGTCAGCCGTGTGCAGGCCCAGGTGTTGAAGAGCTTGGTCGTCTGCTATGTCGAAGTGCCCCCGCCAGCTGCTTCACTTGAAGATATTGGGGCGCTGTTTGGTCAGTACAAGGTGCGCGAGTTCCTCATCAAGAGATGGATTCCGAACCGCACTCGTGATTGATTGGCCTTTTTTTCTTTTTCTTTTTCTCTTGGGTCCCCTCAAGGTGGGGAATGTTTAGGGCTTCTGATACCCTCTGTAATTATGTTGCATTATCTTGCATAAATGTATATGTGTACAAGTCCCAAGCCTATACCTATAGGTTTATTACTGTTATGATATTTGGCATCACACATGCAAAAAGTACTTCAAAACTAACATCTAAAACTATATACCTCACCACATCATTGTTTTTGTATCAAATTGATATAGTGTTATGTTTTTCCTTTTGCTACGTTTGTATATCTTAGGCGGTGTAATTCTGCCGAAAGGTGGGGTTATAATGAACTTTAAGGATATCTTTTCGCCCTTCGGGGCATATGGTCAAATGAAAATATACAGAGAAGATTAGCATGGCCCCTGCACTAAGGATGACATGTCTCAATCAAAGAGAAGCTACCTATTTTTTTTTTCCTTACAGATCATTTATTGAGGGTATACAAGTGTGAGTCTTTTGACGAGGATATAATTGGTCCCGCCCGTTTGGTAAAGTCACATGGTATCACGTGGTGTCGCCGTTCGACCCACCGCCCGAGCACTTGGAATAACGGAATAACCTCTTCGCCCTTCAGGGTATACAACGATTATGACCATGTGTGACTGTAATTACATTTTATAATGCATCCTAATATTGATGAACGATTGCCATTAAATCTCAATCAGAACAGACCACACACATTTCAACTGCTTGCCACACAGCAATCAACCAGGTTCAAAACACCCATGGTCTTATTGGCTACAAAATCTTCCTTCCATGACTACCTAAGGTAGTTATACTCAATCCATTTCTTCGGACATAGGACCATACGCCACGTCCAATTTACTTGACAGTAAAATTTTTTTAGAGGTATAGTATCTTACTTTCAAAAATACTAATTTTGGGGTACCTTTTGTAAGTGCTCTAACTAGAAAAGGTACCTACTCCGTAGAATCAAATATTTGCATTGAACCCGTTTCTACATTCAACCCGTGCGGTCCAATTCCCACCTGGAATTGGACTGTGCGTTGGGTCGAGTAGATGGTAATACATGTCTCAGAGCATCTTTCTTAGGTACTCCAACACATGATCGGGTAGGGCTCTATAGCTTTCCAATCTTCCTCCTATGACAAGGTCCTCTAAACTTGCTTTTCTGTAGTCCTTGACTTCCCATAAATCATCGGGAAGCATCTTCATCATTTCTCCCGTTCCCCACATCTTGCGGCAATAGGTCGGCACAGCGAAATTGCTCTCCCTGCTGATACAATCCTCGATCGTTCGATTGACTTCCTCCAAGCTTCGTGTCGCAATAGAGGGCTCTCTTCCGTTCTTCTCTTTCATGATCGCAGCAATTTCCATGCCTGTTGGTGCAAGCTCTGACAAGGTGATGGTCCGGTTCTGGATAGTGGGTATAGGTCTGGTGGTAAATATGTCGACGTACGCAGCTGCGACGTAGTCCTTGGTGCTATAAGGGATTAGTTTAATCAGACCAAAGGAATTATTTAGATGAGAAGGATTCTCTGGGTAAATTGCGACGCACCACATAGTAACTTTTTCGCTAGCAGAGTTGCCGGTGTGGACCAATACGTTATTCTGCAAATCAATACCCACTGCCCTATAATTTGTGAAAGTCAGTTACCGATAAACATCCCGAGTGGTCGGCTGATGACTGACGATGTACTCAAGGTGAATTCAGCGAAGTTTCCCACGTGGATTACGGAGGTTGGAATTCCGGCATCCTTGGATGCCTTTTCGACATCCGCTTTTGCCTTCATACAGGACATGCGCATTCCCTGCTCACAATACCGCAGACAGAAATCCGAAGGGGAGAAAAGCTGGACATCAGTCCTAGGGATAGCTTTCACAAAGCCATGCTGTCTGTCGGTACCCTCGTCTCCAACAAGAGAACTAAGAAGCCGATTAGCATAGATTCGAAAAGGTATAGATGTGTAGTAGCTCTGACTGACATCACAATGTCTATATCTTGCAAGGCACCAACCAAAGCGTCTTCATCAAGAACGTCGACTTCAATCTTTCTCACATGATCGGGGAGATTGGAAGTATCCGAGCTAGGGCGATGCAAAACAGTAATTGGAGCTCCCGAGGCAATTAAAGCAGCAACAACTCGAGAGCCAACGAATCCACGGTGACCATAGACAGCTATACGGTTGAAGGCCATGATTTGAAAGACAAGAGATGACTGGAAAAGAATGTTCAATCGGTGTAGAAAGCTGTTGGGATAGGGCCGGTTTGGAAACTTATATAATCCCCGACAAAAAAAAACCGTGGGTTCCAAAGAAATGAATCTATTCCCCTTAGGGGTAAGCTATTTTCCTTCTTGGGCCAGATTGCGAACCTCCTTCATGGTCTGCTTCGGAGCGGCCGCGTTTCGGTGTACACGAAGTGGGTCGGCTACTCAATTTATAATATAAGCTTAATTTTGTGGTGAGTCATTTTACGTATGTTGTAGTACATAATAGTGATCTTAATAGTGATCGTCGCTTCACAAGGGCACAGGAAGATACCTGGGTATATATATAGCTTATCCACAAAATTTCCTATCTGGGCCGTTTCGCGAGGTTGTGGGGCCCGTCTCTGTTTCCTCGGCTTAGTCAACCTTGGATGATACCTAGGTAGGTACCGCTAACCCGCATTTGGTATCTAGAATCCAAATTTGCAATCTATGTTGTATAGACGTCTAGATATAGGTATCTTGTTTACGAGTGGGTTGTGGGCACTTTGACAAATCGGAAGGTGATATAGTATGCACAACACCACAACCATGGAACTAGATAGGAGGTTCCATTTCCATTTTCAGTATTTGTCACTGAGGTGTAGATATTACACTTTCTCTGATGGACTCATGAGAGTAAATTTCAGTATGTGGTGAGCACCCTTAGTAGCCGACCCGGCCATTACAGCCAAAAGGGGACCAGTAGTTCTATTATATACAAGTAACAGGCAGCCAGGCAGATCCTTAACGGCAGACCGACATGTCCGCTGGGGTGGTGCGAAGAAGAAAATATAGAATGGTACTCTGCGCCTTGGTTGGGAGAGTATCCTCATGAGCCCTCGAAGAATAGGGGCGTACATCCAAAGAATTAATAGCATAGATTTGACGAGATGAAGTCTCATGTTAGAAGCAAACACCAATCCTGCTGCAGCGTGTGTGATAGCCAGAAGGAGGGACTACCACTGTCTCGAGCATCCCAGAGCTCTTCAAGGAGTTGAAGAGCCATTAGATTTGCGGGGAGGCGATTCAAAGAGTAGATGGCTCGCAGCCTGCCACGCACTTCATCGCGCAGGAAGTGATTCGACTCGGTCAATTCGGATCCAGCTGTAAGAAGAGGGAGAGATTGAAAATTAAGGGAGTACGAGGACGCAGGAATTAGTAGCAGATGGCGGACTGTCTCTTCGGCGTACTGTAGGATCAGAGACTCTTGTGCTTCAGTCACATCCGGGTCCGTAGGACAACCTCTCTGTGCATGTGCACGAGATCGATAGAGGAAAACAAGCCCGTGGTTGCGGAACGCTTCATATAAGTGGCCCAGATCGGGATTTGGGGGCTTCGTCGTCCAGGTACTAAGCTGGGACTCCAGCATAGCTTCTTGCCTGGGGTTGCGGCTCTGTGGCATATCATATATCTGTCGGCAATATCGTCCGACATTCGCTATGATAAGGAGCAGTCGGCTACAGGTTCCGTACATTGGATGGTGCCAGTCTCCCATCCTGTGTACCGCGAGGGATATATTAAATAAGTCGAGACCCTGTGGTTCACATGACTCTACCAGGAATGAACTGCACATGTCCCAGTAAAGATAGATTCCCAGGCAGAGTCGAACCACGGGGTCATTAGTCGTCGACACAGATGTGTCTCGCAGCATACTGTTGATCAGGGAGCGTGCACCAAATAAATGCTGTCTGCCATAATCCTTCGGGTCAGAATCAACAACCTGCGTCAGAGCCAGCATTAAAATAGTCAGAAAGTGTGCGTAAGGCGCGCGTTGGATCTGATTCATCTCTCTTCGAAGGCAAGCTATGGCTTTGCCACGTTCCTCAAGGACCGGAATGGGAATATTGGCCGGGAAGTACTGCTCATGGCTCGCACTGACTGACTGGATAGCATGGAGAAGTGCGGGAGATTGGGCAACGTGTTCCAAAATTGGGAAAGAGAACGGATTATTTTCAGGATCTACAACCGACACTTGACTGACTTTCTCCAGCCAATACTGTAGTAGTCTTGGATTGACATGCGTTTTAGGCTGTAGTGAGAGCCACGGTGTCTCAACTTGCCACTGTGTTAGCCGCGGGGCTGACGAACAGACAAGACCTTGACGCTGGCACCGCTTGCACGTCGGATAGGTCTCATCGCATTTGACCCGCTTTGCCTTGCATTCTCGACAGCCCAATTTGCTTTTGTTTCGTGGTCGACCTGGTAGAGAGGTGTGCTCCTGCTGCGTGCTCGGATTTAAAGAAGGGCTGACCACCACTTGTTTGAAGAGTAAGCGGGGGAAGTACATGTCCGGTCAGGTTGGCTTCCTGTGTTCTTTGCGTTCAATAGTGGTATTGGAGATGAGGAATCGGATAGAAATCTGAGCAGGGATTGCCACATCAGTAAGTGGATTACTAATTATCCGCAAAACACCAGTTAAGGCGGGAATTTCCACAAGAGAGTACGGTATCCGATTCTATTCAGTATCCATTCAGACCAGGTAGGGCATGGTAAAACAGATTGTTCGGATCCAGTCGCGCTTTCAATTGTCGCAGTCTTGAGGCCCCTTCCTCCCCAAAGAATTGTTGTATGTCTACCTGGTCAGGGGGCCAAAATGCAGGGAACCCTCCTGGCAGGGAAAGACCATTCTGATCAACCGCTTCCTCCAATTCTATGACCCATCTGGCTGCACCTGCAAGCTCCTGCTCATCGGTCCAGTCTGGCCTGGTGCCACCATGGAACCCGAGAATGACATGTTGGTATCGATTCGGAAAGGCCGCCCCGACAGCATCTGCCACTTCGTGTCGAACCCCTCTACCATGGTTATTGTGAAAGATGATAGCGGACAGCGGATATGGTGGAAGGTGCTGTGCAAGGATAGTGCCAACATTTTTATGTATCCGATCGACGTTTCGACTGCGGAAGAAGGTCCCTGACGATAAACCACCTAAGCCGTAGGCGGCTGGTGTAGCTGGATACTAGGTCAGTTGACTGAAGTTCATATCATGATGGAAGCTTGTAGCTTACTTTCCGTGACCGTGTTCCCCAGAACCCTGCCAGCCTGCATCATCTGCTCAAGAAAGGTTTTCGCGGGCCCGAGGTCTTCGTTAACCGAAGTCCAACACCAAAACAGAGCAAAACAGGGCTCGGCTACCGGTACAGGAGCCATTTCAGGATTTGCGGCGATGGCATCCCCGCTGAACTCATCAGGAAAGTCGTCATGTAAGAGGCTTCCAATCTTGTCCATGACAGATGCAGCCTCGGACAGGGGGAAGGCTAGGAAGCCAGCGTACAGTTTAGGCACTGGGTATACCTTTACGCGAAGCTCTGTGATGATGCCAAATGCGCCAGCCCCAGCGCCGCGGAGTGCCCACAGTAATTCTGGATCTCTGTCGGTGTCAACGACGCGACCCCCGGCCAAAACCACTCGAGCCCCAAGTATTTGATCGACCCCAAACCCGTATGTTCCAACATAGAAGCCGTACCCTCCGCCACATGCCCAGGAGACATAGCCCACGGATTTTGACTGTCCGGTAGGAGTGAATAGGCCGTGAGAACTGATGGCTTCCTGCAGGTCGCCGGCCATCACTCCGCCACCAACGCGTGCACTGGCTCGGTCCGACCCGATACTGACTGTGTCCATATCGCGCATGTCGATGAGGATTCCCTTGTGGACTACGGAGCGACCGAAGAAGTCGTGACCGCCTGAGCGAACGGCACAGGGAGTCTTTTGTTCGGTGCAAAATTGAACCAAGCGTGAGACCTCTTCTTCTGTCCGCGGCCGGGCGCAGACTAGCGGTTCCTTTTTCAGCGCATGATTGTAGAATTTAAGACAGTCTTGATAGTTTCTGCCTTCAGTGTATAGCGAGAGGCTCGGCATGAGATGCTGCAAGCGGGCTTCGATAGATGACGCACTGTTTGGCATATTTAATTAGGGGCGCTTCTTTGGTCAACGGCCAGGGGTGAAAGACTGGTTTTGCCATCTCTTCGGGAGGTATTATCGAGGTATGATTTCAGCATTGGCAACCTAGGCTCGGCAATGACGACAATAGCATAGCATTAATCCAAGCCTTGGAACTTCCCCACTATACGCTTTCCGTTTCTGGACAGATCGCGAGGAATCATCCCAACCATCCGATTAGCGTCCTCATTTGGCGTGTTTGCATCCACCGATATAATGAGAAAGGTAAACGTCGCCTACTTCTTGATGTAGGCAGCTCCCACTCTAGTTGACGCCAACAAAAGATTCCCTTTGCTGTTCGCTCAGGTCACGACTTCTTCGGCCGCTCCGTAGTCCACAAGGGCATTCTCATCGACATGCGCGATATGGACACGGTCATGGGTCGCTGTACCTAGGTAGGAAAGCAGTGAAACAGTGTGGGGTGTCGTTCAATACCATTTCTATTGACAGCTCCGAGTGTAACTCCTGTTAAGGGCTTCTTGCCATTTTCAGATGACAGACGGAGAAAGTCCACTCTCTTTTCGAAGGAGGTCATTCTGGCACATGGACATCGGCGCCGACAAAGTTGATCCATTCAGTCTGACGATATTTCGGGTCCCGCCTAGCAGATTATCATAGAGACACTGCCGACTTAAAGAATTGCATCAAAGCCACCTTAGGTACATCGCACAACAGCCGGTATTTATAATGCTAATACACGATATGCTTTGAGTTCTCGCATACATTCATCAGCAGGGCCGATGGTAAACGATCTCCGAAGATATACTCTAATAGCGCTAGTCCGTAGGAGGTAATATTACTTGAAGGCACGTGACACGCGCGTTTCGCGTTCCGACGCCTCCATTTGCATTTATGTCTCGACCCAAAGGTATTTGAAGTATTGGACTGAGTTAACACGAACCTCACAAATACCGCCGTCAAGACGTGATAGACTTCAGCGACTGTATGTCGTCGAAAAATGGAGACCCAGGATGATAGCATCGACTTTGCAAAGTTGCAACGCGACGCGTTGGGGCTAGTATGTAATGACCATGCAGCGTCCCTCGCCCTCATTGGACTAACCCCGACATCCCCAGGAGCATGATCCATCCCAGCCGTACCTTTCGGGATCTGCAGAAACTGTGAACGAACCGAAGCAGACTCTTTGTTACACATACCACAAAGTCAACAGTGCTTCCAACGGTGACGGGGTGTGCACCGGCCAACACCTACCTCCGAAAACACCATCAAACCCCACGAGCCTTGTGCACCAACACCGACCCTCTCCGCCTCGGCCTCGGCAGCATGAACGACGCCCAATGATGTCCAATAAAAGTGGCAATGGAGCGGGCATTGTACCCGGATCACAATTCGGCAACATGAGCTCCGCAGAGGCTGCTCCTGGGGATACTCAGGTCGTCTCGCAGTCAGTGTACGATAGTATCATCAAGCAAAACGGGGAGTCCATGCAACAAGACTATTCACAAACAGGGGCGGATGGAGCGACATTGAGAACATTGTATGAGGGTGACAGCGGCCATATCGACCTCATTTCTGAATTTGACGCTGCGCACCATGGAACGAACCTTTCCCAAGATGACGATGATAACGACGATGAGAGCAACTTCGATCCGAACGAGTCTTCTCCAATGCCCTATGCACCCGATCTCTTCCCCGAATCGCAACGGTTCCTAGCAGAAACACCCGGCACGGTGGTGAAAAAGAATGACGGAAAGGGTGGGACAAACGAGACCCCGAGCATCTCACGGAATCCGCTGGCTAGTGGCATTGAGTCAAGTGGCGGTCTCCTTGCTCTGAGTCAGGTTTTCGGGGCTACCCAGGCCCCGTCATCTCCCATTGTCCACGGCCTACAGACGGAGCTTGTATCGGATCGTCCGTCGCCCAATATCCCGATTCAACCCGCTTGTGTTGTCAATGGTATCTCGTCTCCGTTGACGGGCTTCCCAGTCCAGTTCATGAGGGAATCATCCGAACCGAACTTGAACTATATATCGATGAAGGAATCGCAGACAAAGCGCGACAGGACTTTGGGGGAGAGGTTGACTCGGTCGGCCGGCAATATCCAGTCGGATCAGAGTGACAAGGAATTCTACAAGGAGTCAAGTTTTATAGAACGTGCACGACGACAGCGAGAAATCGATGAGGAAGCTGCGGCTCAGTTCGCCGGGCTGAGTGCTCCTGCCAGATCTACATCGAATCTCTCCGCCAGACTACAGACTTCTCCCGAACAGCCAAATGAACAAGAAAAAGACCATGAAATTATAGAAGCTGTTGCCAGCGAGGAAGAAACAGAACAAGAGGAAGATATGCAACTACCCCGGTCACAAGAGCTTCCTCAGTCTTCAGCCGAAGAAGACAAAGAGAATTACGACGGACCTCCTCTAGACCCTGCTGCCGCCGCCGCTGCTGCCAGTGCCCACGACCGACTATCTCAGGTACTAGGTTTTGAGCCGATTCCCTCCCCATCTCGCCCGAGAGTAGACGAGGAACTGGAGGAACTGGAGGATGCGGCAGCTCATGGAGGCTCCGTCGGCTCCCACAATGATGGTCAGCCAAATGGCGCCATGCGTTCTTCCCAGGCCATGGTGAAAGACTCTCAGCCATCACCCCAATCATCACCAAAACGCATAGAAGCCGACAACGCTGTGAACGGTATTCATCGGTCGCGTTCGCGTTCTCATGTGAATTCTCCCGCGCGAGACCGTCTTCAGTCCTCCTCTCCCTGCTCGCGACCACAATCAAGACATTCGAACAACAATACCCAGAGAAATGGCTCCGTTTCAAATGAACCTGCCATTCAACCCATTCACAATGCATCCCTTAACGAGAACATACCAACACATTCCAGCAACCCCTCGGAGCAGCAACACGTAAACTCATCGCTTTCCAGAGTGGAAGCGGGAACTGCGGGCAACTCATCGATGCCATCCCGTGTGGCCGAGACGCCTATGAATCAACGTCTTAAGCATCTCGGTGATATGGCTCGACTGACGAGTATCCCAGAAACCAGTCCCAGCCACTCCCAATGCAATTCCGAGGCTGGGTCTAATGGCGATGGACTCAACAACGAAGATGACGATCTTCCACCTATGTTCAAGGAAGTCCCCAGTATTCGAAAACACCATATCCGCCCAGCTGGGGCAAGGGCACTCTCTTCGCCTCTCAAAAAATTGTTGTCTAGTCCAGGCGGAGGCCAACGCAGGGCTTTGACTGAAATTGCGGCAGATCTTTCCCCGCAGGTTGGGGCAGGAGGATTTGATATGGGAGTTGGGATCTTCACTACTGAGGATCAAGAGTTCAGAGCCTTGATTGATGGATCGCCGACTCGACCGAAGAAGAAGCGGCGCGGCAATGATGGCTCGAGTTATATTGCCTCCGACCCTATCATACCTCTCACCCCTCGCATACAGCCCCCAAAATTCGTTGCACCCATTCGAGTGACACAAGAACAGCCAGCTCCTATTCCCGAAGATTCAGATGATGTGCCCTTGGTGCAACTCCCCGAAAAAGCCGTGCGAAGGCAATCAAAGCCCCCGCGACGAGCCTCCGAGAATGTTTGGGACATCGAAGGTTCACCTGAGCAGCCCTTCCGCAGGAGATCAAGAATTGGCAAGACGGCTACCTCGATGTCTACGCAAAAGAAGCATGTTCCAGAAAAGAGCTCCGGACTTACTGCGAGATCAGCACCCTCACCAAAGGTCGTCGTTCATAGTCGACCACCACCTCCATCATCGGAACTCACTGAGGTTTCATCGACAATTGCCTCTGATGATATCATTGATTCAGAGGCGAACGGCATCGATGGATCTCCTACCACGCCTCGACCATCTGACGCTTTATCGGCAAACACGGTGGTTGCTCCAAGCCAGGTCCTTTCTGTCTGGATGGGACAGAAACGAGCATACTATCCGGCGACATGTTTTGGGACACCACTAGGTGTGTCCCAGGTCAAATACTCTGTGAAATTTGAGGACAGTCTTCCTGTCGAGGTGCCGAAGGGTGCCGTTAAGAGATTTGAGCTTCGTGTCGGAGACTCTGTCAAAATCGAGATGGACAATGTTCCCAAAGTCACTCATATCGTCCGCGGATTCGGTGACAAGCTCACTAGAGAAGAGCTGGCCAAAGCGGCCGACGATGGCACTTATCCTATAACCGACATTTACGGTCATACTACTGTCATAGTCGGTCCCAAGCAGCGTAAAAGTCTGCCAAATGGAGGGATAGGTAACAGCGAGAATGTGATCAAAGTACCTATTGCTCGTGTCTATCTTGATACTATCCTGTGGAATCAACTCAAAGATCGGACGTTCACATATCGCCCGGCGCCTATCCAACAAGAGAGCATGGTTCATACCCCATCTGAAAGGTCATCCGCTCCTGCTTCGCCCAGTTCTCGCTTGTCCCGCAGCATTCAACAAGGCAGCGGGATATTCGCTGGGATGGTATTTGCCGTCTCTTACAAGGAGGACGAAGCCTCTAAAAACCGTGTGACTAGGCTGATCATCGAAAATGGCGGCACTGTATTACATGATGGATTTACTGAATTGTTTGAGCCCTCGTCAATTGTTCCTGTTGATACTCCCACTAAAGGTGGAGCCAAAGATGCAGACCTCAATAACAAGGGTCTTCGTCTTACATCTCTCGCCGATAACGTTGGATTTGCCTGTTTAATTGCCGATACCCATTCTCGACGGGAAAAATACATGCAAGCACTGGCCTTGAACCTCCCATGTCTGGCCGGGCGTTGGGTAGAGGACTGTATCTCTCAAGGTCGCGTCCTCGACTGGTATATCTATCTCCTCCCGGCCGGCGACTCAATGTACCTGAACGGAGCGACAAAATCCAGAGTCATGGCTCCCAATCCCCCATCCGCGGCCCGTCTCGCCGACACCATCTCCGCGCGAACGAAGTTGCTCGCGGGACAATCAGTGCTCCTTGTCATGGGCCGTGGAAAGGTAGAGGAAAAGAGGAAAGCCTACATCTTCCTGACTTACGCCCTAGGGGCTTCTCGTGTTGAGCGCGTCCCTGATCTTGGCACGGCTAAGGCATTGATAGACTCACAGTCTGATGCCGGTGCGCCGGGTACCTGGGACTGGATTTATGTTGATGATGCAGACCAAGCCGCTGCAAAGTCGATGTTGACGCCTAATCCGAAGACGCAGAGAATTCACTTGTTCCACGGGAAGAAGCGTAGGAAGTCAATTGCATCGTCCACTCCTACGCCCCCTAATGAGCTGAAGTGTACTGCAAAGGTTGTCGGTAACGAGTTTGTTTGTCAGAGTTTGATCTTAGGTCGGTTGTTTGAGGAGTAATTTCTTGTGCCAGTTCTTGATACCAATGTCATTTATCAATATTTATTATTTAATGGATCTATTCAGACTACAGACGCTGTTAGCTTGCATGACCACCTCCCGAGATGAACATTGGGATATGATGCGTCTAAAGAGGAATCTACTCTTCCTTTCTTCGGAATGAGATGTCCTGGCGACCCATTCATCAATAATTTTACCTATACCGTTGTGATAAGGTTGTCACTTAACCCATTCGAGGAACTTGAGGTTACGTGGGAGTCGTGGACATTTATAGGCGGATAAAATCTTTATCAGACCTTGGTTGTCAAACTCATCCCTCGACGAAGTTTCCCCGTTCAGATTTCATAAGCTTCGCCACTCCAGGTAGAAACCAATATCACTCATTACACGGACTGAGATTTAAAGATGCAGCTACATCAAAAGTTTCCCGACATACTACCTCGCCTTGACCGGTGTCATCCTGATAACGATGAGGAATTTGAATACCCACGACTTACACGCTTTCATTTCACTCTACTATATATAAGTAGTCATAAGGCGGCACGAAAACAACTACTTATTCGGCTTCAGAGTCGCTCCTATGTGTTTGAAACTCCCTCCGAAGGGGATTTTGTTGTGATGGACACCTGATTGATCAGACATGATTGTTAGGCTGGCACCTAATAGCTTCCTCAGAAGGTCTTACGCAAAGTATATAGGTTTTGGTTATTTATATCCGTGTGTTTCCTTAACGACTCGAGAGCTCAGATATATTCCGAAACTCCTTAAATCACACACTCCACTGTCTCAGACTAAACTTGACCCTTTCAAATTTGACCTTCCTAGTGGAACTCAACCAGGTGCCTATATTTCAGCTGGCTTTCATATAAAGGGATCATTTAAGCCACCATTGTTCGTTGCCTACTGCATCTGACTACAAGGCCCGGGTCAACATGATCCGTATATCTATCGACTCACTTGGCTACCTGGAGATACTTGCTCAATATACAATATTCCGCTCTTCCTCTTCTATTCGTCTTCGAACCACAGTCTTCCATTTTTTCACTGGGACCTTACTTTTAATGTGGGGTTGAAACGATGCCGTCCCAGTGTGTCTCAGATTACGGACGGATAATACACTGGAATCGCTGTTCAAGAAGCTCTATCAACGAACCTCCTTCTCACAGCGTGCTGGTGTCGAACACGTCGAATATCAGTTAAAGCATCTAGATGCAGCAAAGTGGGTGTTCTAACCGCGTTTGAGTTTAGCTCATGACTGACCAGGACTTGTCTACAGCACAGCAAATTTGTCCAGGTTACAAACATTGAATCCTCAGACGCAAAGACAAAGGTGATTGCCGGATCACGAGCACTGCGTGACATGGCCTTGATCAATTGCTCTATTATGCTGGCTAGACTGGACAAAGAACTCCAGTGACTCCAGTCTGCCAGCCAAAATATGTTTGTCAACAAGGGTGCCACAGGGGACTTTATCCATCGTACTGTACTACTCGGAAAGAGGGCAAGTCGTTCTATCCCGCGGCAACCGGAAAGGAGCCTTTGAAATACCTCGGCTGGGGATCCCTTTTAAATTCAGTTCAGATTCAGCTCAGATTCAGTTCAGATTCAGATTCACTTCAGATTCTGATTCACTTCAGATTCCAGCAATCACCACCAAAAGCTAATTTTGGTCGCCTCCTAACTAGCAAATGCTTGGTTCATTGAAGTCGTCCTACATGCCATTCTGATTGGTATGCAAGTATCCACTCTTACCTGTCCGCAGTGTACCGTGATGAGTTGATTACTTTGTTTAACGACCTAAAGTCTGACTGACCTACGCGTATTGGTTATAACACATCACGTTGGTACAGTAGGCTTGAACCTACACGTGGCCTGTGATCGTGTGATCCTCTTGGGTCCCAGAAGGAGCTAGGGATAGAAATCCTAAGCAACCGGCCGATATCTCCGGGTGAGTTTACTTAGGACTATGGTATAGGAAATAGTATACTAACCCTCATAGGTAACTTCACTCTACCCCATCACAGCAGTTCGATGCTTTGCTCCGAACTCTCATGATCGATTTCGGTTCGTGAAGCAGGCAGCTAAGGGTAGCCTACAACTAGCTATCAACTCAAGCGAACGACCCCTACAAGAGATTATGGTCAAACTACTGAACAAAATCCAGCCACAAGTAAATGCTTGCTACACAAGTGAGTACGGGCGAACCATTATCAAGCAGAAGTCCGACGCCGATGACATCCGAAAGGCCGCCTTGGATACATATCTCTCCCAGGAGGCGAAGCTTGAGTCAAACGGCGCAGGTTCCACTAAGCCGGACATCGAGCTCTCCAAGAGAGTTTTCCGAGCGATCCTAAAAAGGATCAAATGCTACGAGAACTCTCAGTCCAAAGATGATGATAAGGATACAACATACGTGCCGGATGTAGAATCCGAAGCAGACGGCGACACTACTCCTGAGGGAGATGAAGATGTCGAGGAGGTCGCGGACTCCGGCGACGAACTATTCGATACGATCGACCTAGGCCGGTCTCTGGAGAAGATTCATGACATTGAAATTCAACGCGCGAGAGTCCTGGAAGGAATTTGCAGACCGCCACCAGCCAGATGACAATACACGGTACCTAATGGCGTTACCCGAATTTCCCGACGAGAAGTCGTGGACTGAAGACTTGGAGGACTGCGGGTACCTTCGTCTTGGTCTTTTGCTTCTATACAACCACATCCGCGGTATCCCAACGGTACGTTTGGGCAGTTCTATCCACATCCAGTACCCGGATATTCCAGAGGAAGTTGTAGGTACCAACAAGACAGACACCTGGAACGCTCAAGGGGCCCAAGAAGAAGCAGATGAAGGAGTTTCTGAAGCGGATCTGGCGGAGTAGGGGGGATGTGGATGAGCACGGGAAAATCTTTGATCTTTTTACTCTTCTTTTTCCTCTCTCGCATATCTTAATTCAGTGAAATTAGGGGAAGCCCTCCTGGCTGACCCGCTATACAGCGAATCCTACGTGGTAACCTTAGGAGATTCGCCTGTGGCTATCGTACTATCGTACCGAGTATTAATCTAAAAGAATAAGAGATTAACCAAGAGTATTGGTATATAGTCATAAGGACCTTTTGGTGTGTTGTATTTTCTCCACCCAATTATACGCTGAAATTATATTCACCCCTATCTCCAAATATCATGTTGATGATGCGCGGATATCAGATCTCATGCAGTGCAATGAAATGTTAGAGCCATACGGATTGTTTGTCTGGCTTTCACCTAACATCCAAGTATATATATATATATACTTGTTTTAGCATGAAGAATGACCGCTCGTGCCTTTTACTCCTTTCCTTCACTTCTCTCTTCTGCCATTTTCTGCCTGTCTGCGAGATATCACTTAAATTTCATCGCCTCTTTACTTTCACCTCTTTTTATTATCTCCCATCAGGACAGTTTCACCCTTGACATATCCAGCCATGTCTCTCAACGAATCTGCCGTTTCGTTATTATCAATCCCCACAAGGTCATTAGCCGAAATCCTTCGTATGGTTCCTATGCTCTGCAGCAATGGCAACTTCGTCCTATGGTCCGAACTTTTCAAGCGTGCCCTTGACATACAGGATACGAGATACTGGTCAATCATCAGTAATGGACCTAATACCTGCTTCATGGGCGACGGGACTATCAGACCCGCTATTAACTTTGAGCTCCTTGAAGCTATCAATATCAGTGTCGACGTAGAACTACAGGCACTCATTGCCCATGCCAAGACCCCTCGCGTTGCCTTCGAACTTTTGAAGGGCTACTTCACCGAAAGATATTTCCATCAATCTCATTCTAGGTACATCTCTTGGATTAACTGTGTGTACACCCCATCTATGGATCCAATGCAATTTATCCACGAGTGGCGTTCCGCTTTGAGCCAACTGGTCGAGAGTTTGGGAACTGCCAACCTCCCTCTCAAAATCCAACTCCATCAGTTCTTTCTTGCTGTCAGTATGAGGGGCAACCCAGAGGCAGTTGACTGGGTGAAAACCTTTGGAGTTGACTGCACTCGGTCGGGATCCGATTCGCTCGAGGATGCTTGCCAGTCTTTCGTTCGCTTTGAAGTTAGCCGTCTGCATGCTGTCCCCGAGGATAAACGTGCTACAGGCGACATCAACATGATCAAGAATGAGACTTCCCCAACTGTCTACAAACGTCGTGAGGAATGATTAGGCAAACCGACACCAGAGAAAAGATTGCGAAGCGGAATGGTAAAACTATGGTGGAAGATCACTTTGGTTGTCTAAGAGTTACTATGGTATAAGCGCAAGAGTAGCTGGGAATCTCAATTTGGAGATCCGTCTAACTCAGAAGGAAACCAATACAACATTATCCCAACATAACGTTGAGTAATCGGCGAATCACAATAGGCGTGGTCTCTATGCTACCAGATAGCCTCTCAGTAGCGGGGATATGCCCTGGGATACCTAACTCATGGAGTCCCTAACTGCCGATTCTTTGCCTTTAGTTGCCAATTGTGTACTCGGCTCCACAGCCGAAACATGCTCAGCAGTAGACACAGGCTCTTGTACGTCTGGCGCATGTGCATCGTGGGTAATTTTGGTGGATAATTCGGATTCTCCGGTTGCTTCCCCGGTACCTAACTCGGTAGTTGGTTTACTCTCGGCAGTCGGCGTTGTCTCCTGAGCAGCTCCCTCGTGGGGTACACTGTGATAATCTCCGGTGAATGATTCCGCAGTTACAGGCGCCTGTTCTGCGCCTAGCTCACCAACTGCTAACTGATTAGCAGTATGCGTCACAATTCCCTGTGATTGCGGACTAGGGAGTTGGGCAGAATCCTTGGGGTTTTGTTCGCCCGACTGCCCAGTGCCCTCCGTGGCTGGTTCCATAGATCTATCGGTACGGAAGAAGTCCCCATTCAAAACATCGATGAGGACTCCTGCCTCAGGTGGTGGTGGAATCGATCCGCCCAGCAGCTCCTTTGCTTGAATTTTCCGCCCGTATAGCTTTTTGTTTGCATCCGCACGCTCTGCAAGAACACCACCCTCGAGTGTGAGACCGCCGTATAACCCCCGGGTCTTGGAGTAGGCGAATACCCCCGTTGCACTCTTGGTGCCCACTACACCCCCAGCCTCGGCACTCCGACCAATAGGCCCGACGGCCATGGATATATTCCCACCGAGAGTCAAGTTTCCCGACTGCATGAATGTCTTCACAGCCGCGTCTGTAGTCAGGACGAAGACGAAATCCGTCAATTCTGCGCCAAATTGACCACCGGCGCCGAGACCGCCCATTGCCATGGCTGACGGGGCGGACCAGCTGCCATCTTGGAGACGAGCGACAATCAATCCCGAGCCAAAACGGATCGAGCCCAGGAATCCAACTCTGAGCGCTGTGAATACAGCAATTCCCTGGAATAGTGTAAGTCATGGTTATTTGGGCCGCTTCTCGGTGGAAAATCTTTTACCTTGGCCCCCGCGAATATCTTACGTGGGATTTCTCCATCGATTTTGAGCTTCGGGTTGATGAAGGATTCGAGAATCGCAGCGGCCTTTTTGTACTCGCCTGTGGAACATTGTCAGCCTGGAATCAGCAATGTGGGTAGCACTGGCACAGGGGATAATACTGGATAGTGAGGCGGGCAACGGGTTGTGTAACGGGTTCTTCATGGATAGTATCTTTTCACCCGATGATGTTCTTTGTAATAAATATGTCTACGTCTAGTAGAGTCAGATATGGGCTCCAATATCTAGTGTAGAATTGAAAATGCGGAATGAGGAAAAGATGATATTAAACCACCTCTCAGGAGTCTACGCAAATTGGACGGTTCTTATAGAGTCGATATAATCAGGGGCTGGCGTTTTAGGCTTAAATTGCGCACGGACGTTTCGCGGCGTTGGCATATTTCGAGATTGGAGCAGAAACAGACATGAAGATCCTAAGTAACTAGCTCTATTAACTCGAGCTCGAGTTTTGGCAACCTTCATATAGCTAGAAATATGTCAGTTATGTTGTACAGAGTTAGAAAGAATGAGACTGTCAAGTATTTGATGCCTCGTATGATGGAATGTGTGAGATATATCGTATTACTTGGCGATGATCGAAGACTCTTTAAAACATAGTGATTGTTTTGGCATCATGAACCTCAATATTAGAAGAGAGCAGCTTGATGAATTCTTTAGCTTGACTTGAAACGAATTTATCTTGGTAAATCATCCCTAGGTGACCTAGATTGTTTACACAAGCTGCAACTTCATATCACGCGTCGAAAACAGCCGCTGAGGTGAGAATATAACATTTTCGGAGGAACTATTTCACTCTTTATGATATATCAAATCATTTAATGTAACATTAAAATTTGGCCGAGTGAATAAGAAGCATCCATGGATAGACTGACGGGCCGCGGTTAAGCTTATTTTTGAGCAAGCTGCCCTTCCAAGGTAACATGCAACATACCTAGATAGGGTTGGGCCGTGCATCGGAAAAGGGAATTCGATATAATAAGAGTCGAATATATTGTATATCTCTCAAGACTGGAAGATCTTCGGAGACCAGCTTAATTTAGTGCAACAGTTGCAATAGTCCGGTCGAGAGTTGTACATATCGGCTTTGTTTCGCTGTAACATTCCGCACGTTGGCTCAAGTCTCCAGCGGTTGCACCATTATTGCCGATGCTGCTCCAAACCACTCTAGTGCTGCTCGCACTACAGGCGAGTAGCGTCGCATCTGCGCCTTCAGAACGCCGAGATATTCCCCTCGCCGACAAAACCTTCGATTATGTGGTCGTTGGTGGCGGTACTGCTGGGATCGTGGTAGCAACGCGACTAGCACAGAATGACTTCGACGTTGCCTTGATCGAAGCTGGGGGACAATACGAGCTTGAGTCCGTGGCCGAGTTTCCTGCAGCTGATGCGTTATCGATGGGATCAGATCCTAATTTCAGATCACCGGAAGATTGGGGCTTTGTGACAAGAGATCAACCTGGCGCTAATAGGCGGGCGATTCATTTCGCCCGAGGGAAATGTCTTGGGGGATCGTAGGTATTTCTTTCCGAATATGGCATATCAGATCAAAACTAATTTGTCTGTAGGTCAGCGTTGAATTTCATGGTCTATCAACGGTAAAGTCCCGTGGGAACTAAATTTTCGCGGCTTGACTAACCGGGATCATGCAGTCCGACGCGTGAGTCTATGGAGGCATGGGCAGATGTAGTCAATGACAGCAGTTATACATTCGACGAAGTGCTCCCATTTTACAAGAAGAGCGTCCAGTTCACGCCCCCAAACACCGACTACAGAGCTCAAAATGCCTCCGCAGACTATGATATCGATGCCTTCGACTCGGATGGTGGCCCATTACAGGTGTCGTATGCTAACTATGCCGAGCCTTTCTCGTCATGGATGAGCCCCGGTATGGAAGCTATCGGCATTGATCAAGTTAAGGACTTTAACCTGGGTGAGATAATGGGAGCCCAGTATTGTGCTTCGACCATCGATCCATCCAACGAGCTCCGAAGCAGCTCCGAGGAATCTTTCCTATCCAAGATCAAGCCGAAGTCACTGAGCACCTATATAAACACCCTGGCCAAGAAGGTGGTATTTGATGAGAACAAGAAAGCAACAGGAGTTCAAGTGAAAGGCTTGCTGGGAAATACCGTCACCCTTTCGGCATCGGAAGAGGTTATCGTCTCGGCTGGTGCCTTCCAGTCACCCCAGCTCCTCATGGTGTCGGGTATTGGACCATCCGATCAATTAAGACAACACGGGATCGACGTTATAGCTGACCGACAAGGAGTCGGTCAGAACATGTGGGATCACCCGTTCTTTGCACCTTCGTACCGAGTGCAGGTGACAACATTCACCAAGTTCGTTACCGACCTGTTATACGCGTCTGGGCAAATTCTGGAAGTATTACTCTCCAAAAAGGGAGTCATTACAAATCCAATCGCGGATTTTGTGGCTTTTGAGAAGATTCCGCGATTCTTGCGCTCGGCTTTCTCCGAGGAAACGCAGAGTAAACTGACCAAGTTTCCATCCGACTGGCCTGAAGCAGAGGTGAGAGATTACTCCCCAAGATAAATAAAAAAGGTTGCTAACACAAAGATATATAGTACATATCTGGTGCAGGGTATATCGGAAATGTATCAAACCTCCCGGCAATCCAGCCGAGAGATGGATACCAATATGCCTCAATTCTCGGTGTTCTGATTGCACCTATGTCCCGAGGAAACGTCACTTTGCAGTCTGCAGATACCTCAGATCTGCCGGTGATCAATCCCAATTGGCTCGATGATCAGGCTGATCAGGAAGTTGTCGTTGCCATGTTCAAGCGAATACGCCAGGCTTTCCAGAGTGAAGCTATGCAGCCCGTGGTTATCGGCGAGGAGTACAACCCCGGGCCGCAAGTCCAGTCCGATGATCAGATTCTTCAGTTTATCAAGGATAATATGATGACTTTGTGGCATCCGAGTTGTACCTGCAAGATGGGAACGTCCGATGATGATATGGCTGTGGTTGATTCACAGGCCCGGGTTTATGGAGTGGATGGACTGCGCGTAGTTGATGCTAGCGCCTTTCCTTTTCTTCCTCCTGGTCATCCTCAGTCGACGGTTTGTATGTTTCTCGGTTATTTCTCTGACTTACCAAGTGCTAACTGCGTCACAGATATGCTTGCCGAGAAGATCGTGGCGGAGATTATTCAGGATTCCTAAGTGCCTTAACGTGGATTCAAAGGTGAACACGGAGATGGATCTAGTGACAAAAGCGAGTCGCCATTGAGGAGATGTTTGCGGCCAACGAGAGCGAAAAGGCGAAGCAAAAAGAAGCTCTTGATCAAGTCGACTCACTTTATGCATTAGCCAAACAGAGGGAGATAACACAGTCCCAAATTGCCAAAACCAGGTTGCTCGAGACATGAACATTCTGACCGTATTCCCATGCATCTTGCTGGTAAAAGATGGCAATCGTGACCCGTTGACTCGGATGACCCAGTTGCGAAGTTCGCAGAAGCTGTGCATAGAAAGTAGTAAATTGGATATTTAGGGAGTGGCACCTATAACCTGCCGTAGGTGTGGGGGTCACCGAAAGGGCACGGATACTCGTCGAATTGCCACCAAGCTTGGTCTAAGTGCTATAATTCGCTCACTGAGCACATGCCACAGCTCTAGAGGTCTATGATAGAAATCTGTCTGTCTTGAAATGTATGGGTACCACGGCTGATATTGAGAACTCTCTCGTCTTTCTAAAATAACAAAACCCGCTATTTCAACAATCTGTGCGGTAATGATGACTAATGGTAATATGCATTTTTGTATGGTATATCCAGTACTCGAGGTCACATGATCTCTATGGTATAATACCATGTAAATCCACGTTGCACTTTGACAGTCTACATAATTACTATCGTCCGTCAGTGGTCCCCTCATTTACGCACGGGTGAAACAGGGTACTGCCTACTCATATTCGAACCCCACTCGCTCATACAAATTATCCACTATTCCCACCTCATATGATTTCTGTGCCTCTTTGTTTAACTCTGATCGATCCCCTTTGGCGCTGTTGCTTTATCGCTATCATTTTCAAGTTGTTTTCTTGGTTTCCTAGCATCTCAGAGCTTCCACCAAGACTATTACAATCAGTACGACTTAGGACTCAAAGTTAGAACATTTATCATGTCGCAACAAGAAGTCCCGGCCCAACACTCCAAAGCGATATACTCCGAATCCGCTCAAACCTATAGTGACGACGGAGCTCGTTATGAGTCGGACGAGGAGCCTATGGTTTACAGGATTTTAAAGGACTACGCCACTATGGCGCGTCGGGAGCGTGACAGCCTCCTTGCAGAGGGTGCTGATCCTAACTCGGTCATCCTACAAAGCGAACTACACAATTATGTCCCTCGAAGAGAAAACGACTCTGTCGACGAATATACGAAGCGCTACGCCGATACTATGATAGAAATGACTCGTCGCGGCGTTCGGATTCTGAACGACAAGCTTACTGGCGATCACATGCCATCCATATTCGGAACCGCGTCTGGGAAAGTTTTTGACTTAGGCCCCGAATCCGGCTCGACAAAGGGGGAGTATCGAGAATTTACGCAGTGGCTCTGGGGAGTTCAGGGAGCAGAACAGATTGAGGTGCCGGAGAAGTGGTTGAAGTTTGAGAAGCCAGCCGAAGGGAAAGATGAACAGTAATAGCTGAGATAGGCTAGGGTCATGTATTCTAGATTTACGGTACTTCGAATTATTTTCCTATCCTCTGCTTCTCATCGACCTGAATACGCATTCGTGAATATAATCCAACACATCACTGCTAGTACATACGGGGATTATCTCAATTGTAGATATTACGCCGGACAATATTAATGAAGAGAGAGAAAAGGTTTATTCATTGAGATCTCTGGAGAAAGCTACTTATGTGGGGTGGTGACAGCCTAACTACTATGCCTGATCTATCAGGTGTCCACAACAAATATCTCACTTGAGCAGTTCTTGCAGTCGAAATCGCAGTAGATATTCAAGTGTAATTAGATACATAGGACGGAGACCGCTGCAATTTTATAGCCTTCAATGTTGAATACGACATGAATGGAGCAAGCACCCCTCCTAAACAGTAGTAGTTACAAGTATGCCACAACTAATGTGTGACTCCCCATATTCGAATAAATAATACTGGTAAGGCTCATTGTTGAATTGGCCTACTTAGCTTTCAGATGTTCCTCCGCTAGGACCTTCACCCCTATCATGACCTCACGCATAGTAAGATCTCGAGCCACCCTTGGTCCGACTATTCTTCGACTAGCGCCTTAGCAGCTACGGGATGATCCCGAGCATTCTTATACCAAGTTGTACCGAACGATTTAAGGTTCTCGCGGTGGACATTAAGCTTAAAAAAGGTTACAAAGTCAAAGAGCGGAAATCCGTATATAAGGGGAATCTCGGTCGTAAAAAAGAAAAGAAAAGAAAAGAAAAGAAAAACACTTACGTCTATAGTAACTAGCAACTCATTGTACCGGTCCTAATCTTAGCCCTCTAGAGGGTCTAGAACCTACGCCCCCTCTCCTTCCTAGGTAAGTATAGTAGGGATATTTGTACTATTATAAGTACTAGTAGTAAGGCCCTCTAATAAGTCCCGTTTCGCTATAAGATATTCTGTTAGCTGTTACAGGTGACATTGGAGACTCGGTCAGACAGGCGGTCTGCAGCCCTAGTTTCTGACCTCGGTCGGACAGGCGGTCTGTGCTTCTGCCGGAGGTCAGAAGGGCGGCCTAGGGATCTGTCGGAGGTCAGAGTTTTCTGCTAGAGGTTTCCGCCTATAGGATAGGAGCGAGACCTATAAAGATCTTACTAGTAGGATTCTTTCTCTTTCTCTTCCTTTTATTCTCTATACTTAGTATTCTCGTTAAATACACTCTTTTTATTTAAAGAACTAGCTAGTAATATAATACTAAGTACTAATTAAATCTAATAAGTAGTACGACTATATAGATCTCTATTATAGTAGATCTCGGTCTAGCTTACCCTACTTTCCGTTCCTTAGTATCGTATAGCTAAGCTATCTAAACCGAACCGAATTCTTATCTAACTAATTAGAATAATTAAGACTCGATAAAACCCTACGAACTATAGTAAGTAGCCGGTTATTATTATATTTAATAAAGAAGAGATCGACGATCGGATAATTGATATATCGACGCCGAAGACCCTATATACTAAGAGACTAGTAGATACTAGTAAATATAATAAAGATAACGATAATATAGAAGAAGGATTATTCTTTATATATAAATAATTATAGAAGACTCCGTCGAAGGAGAGATTCTAGGAACTTACTTATTAGTACCGACGATTAGAGTAGGAAAACTAAGAGTTAAAGAATAAGATTATAAAGCTTCTTAATAAAAGAATTAATATTAATAAACTTACGATTAAATACGATAAGATAATTATTTATCGCGATCTTATAATCTATAAACGCGGAGACTTAGCTTTCTATCTTCTTTTTATCTAGAACTTAAATATAATTAATACTAGCGTATCGATTATAAAGACTAACGTTATCTAGAAGATAACTAAGATACCTAATATATCGATATTTAACGATAGTAAAGAAATAAGATTTAAAATATAGGAAATAATAATCCGATAAAAATTTAAAGCTAATATAGATTATTACCTTCTTTTAGTCTATCGGAAGCTTTATATATAAAGCCGCTATAAAAATAAAGCTTAGCTATATATCGTTCTTTATATAAATTCTAACTCGAGTAACCCCTATATTAACGCTAAAGATATAATTATTTACCTAAAGACTATTTTTATAAACCTAAACTATTATACTAAAATATATATTACTTACTATAAGTTAATAATAAAACTAAAAGATAGTTTTACTAATTTTCTTACTAAATTTATATAGCTTATAAAAAAAGTAGCTATAATCGCTAAGAACCGGAAATAAGACCTCTACTTAAAGCTTCTATACCTACTCTAAACTTAAGTTATATAGACTATAAGTTAAGAAGCTATTTTATTTAATATATTTATCTAGAGCTATTAAAGTATATCGTATAAGATTAGCCTATAATAAGAGATAAAGACTATCTCTTATATATAGTCTACTACTTTCTCTACTAGCGGACTAGATATAATTCTAAAATCGATATTAATATATATCTTCTATATTAAATATAAAAAGAGTACTAATAATAGAAGACTCTTAAATATAAAAAAAGAAACCTTAATAAAAAAAGATTATTATTTTAACTATAAAGAGTAAAGATATATAATTTATAATTATTTAAAGAAGAAATTAAATTAGCCTACTATTATAGTTACCGCGATTATTATTATCCTTTAGATTTAGGAAATTATAGAACTCGAAGTAAGTAATAAAAAGAATCTAGGAAAAGCTTTTACCTAAGATAAGTCTCCCTCTTAAATAGAAAGAAAGTATTATTATTTATACTAGACTTATAAAAGTTAGTTAGTAGTTCTAAAAATAGCTTAGTTTTTAATATATAACTTATATATAATAGCTACTCTTTTTCTATCTTAATACTAGATAATACTAGAATAGATAGATATATCTTTATTAATATAATAATAATTATACTATTTAATAAGCGATTTAGAATTAAGATATAAAGACTCGGCTATAAATATCTAGTATATAAATTTAATAGTAAGCTAGCTAAACCGATATAATATACCGCTATTCTTATAATTTATATAGATAGTAGATTATAGCGATAAGTTCTAATATTAATTATAGATCTTAGATAATATAATATAATCTTTAAAAGAATATAATTTACTAAATATAATATTCTTTTAGATTATTAATATTACCGAATAATTTAGCTAAATTAAAAAAGTTTCTTTAATAAGATTATAAGTAAGATTATTATTTCTTTTCTAACTAAAATCTTAAAAAAGCTATTAGAGGTAGATTCTATTTATTAAGCTAATATAAAATAACGCGATTATCTTTTTAAATAATAAGATTAGTAAGATTAATAATTATTTTTATAATTCTAATATATCTAAAAGTATTAGTATAAATACTAGTAAGTTAAAGAAAAATAGAAGATAATTCGAAATTTAAGGAATAAAATAAAAGTTCTAAAGGCCCGAACGTTAATAAAAAAAGAGTAGTCTCTTATTAGTATCGATATCTATATAATCGGAGGCGTTAGATTTAATTAACTTTATATAAAAAATAAGATTAATAAAAAAACCGAAATCTTTATAATCTCTCTCTATAAGATTAATTATATTATTAATATTAAAAGCGCCTAGATATAAGATCTTAAAATTAGTAAAATACTCCGGATTCTACTAAAGAAGTACTATAATCTTATAGAAGTTTTCTCGAAGAGAAGATTAGATAAATTACTATCTTATAGATCTAGAATTAATTATAATATTATACTTAAAGCTAAAGTATAATCTAGATATTATCTTTTTTATAAGCTATCTTTTTATAAACTAAAGAAAGTAAGAGAGTATATTATAAAAAATCTTAAGAAAGGATTTATTATTCTAAGTTTAGTACTATATACTTCTCTAATTTTAATAGCGAAGAAATCTAAAGATAGTCTTCGTTTCTATATTAACTTCCGAAGATTAAATATTATTACGAAAAAAGATTACTATCTATTACTATTAATCGACGAAGTCCTATAATAAACTAGTAAAGTAAAGTTTTTTATAAAGCTTAATATCTAGTAAGATTTCTACCGAATTCGCCTAATACCGAGAGTAAAAGAGCTTACTATCTTTTATATATAGTATAAATTATTTAAATATAAGGTTACGCTATTTAGATTAATAAATAGACCTATTATATTCTAATAATATATAAATAATATATTATAGGATGTAAAGGATAAAGGTCCTTTCAAAGGTGAAATAGGAACTTGGGCGACATATGTATTCATAGAAGTTTCTGACACGTATATGAATCGTGCGGGGTTCGTTACCTGATCGGTGCCGAGCCTTAGCACGTATATTTCCTTTTAATCTTAGGTCCCCCGGGACCCCCTGAATTCTAGCAAGAATTAGTCTTGGCATATACCGCCTAATATATCTTTGTTTCCTCCTCCTAAAGCCAACGTATCTTACCCGGTTGATAGGCCTTATACCTAAAACAGTATATTCTTACAATTCTAATTCTTCTTCTTCAACTACCTAAGATATAATAGCTCCCCTAACTACCCGTAGTAGCTCGCGTAATAATACCGAGGCGCTAGAGTATCTGTCGAACGAAGGAATAGGGCAAGTGACTTGATACCAAGATCTTACTATATCGAGCAAGTAGTAAAATAAGTATAATTCTTAGAAACCTTTGGATGAAAACTCTAATCTTAGTTAGACTTCTAGACCGTTCTTCTAATATCTAGTAGAAGTATAGACCGCTTATCCTTTCTAACCGAGGTTAGAAACTAGGACTATAGGCTACTAAGGGCTTACTAATAATAAGAAGTAGGTCCTATTTATATATAAAGAGAAAAAAACTAGTAATAACGGGACGGGTAAGGAGTTATTCTAGTCGATATACCCTCTTAAGAGCTATCTTCTAGTACTCTAAAGTTCTTTCTATTAAGTAATCTATTTATCGACTAGGTACTAGATATTAACTAGCCTAAGTATTTCGATAAATACTTTATAAGCTTACTTTAAAAGGAGTTTTA